ATATATATATATATATATATATTTTTATCAGCGAGCTATATATATATTGATAAGATGCTGCATAGAACCCCTTTTTTGTTTGCATATAATGCCTATGTTGGTTCTTGATTTGCAAAGGTAATATTCTGAAACTAATAAAGATGCCACATAGGACCCAGCCAATGACAGCACTTTTGGTGTTTACTGGACTGAATTTCATTTTGGTTTCAACCATTAAGCCAGTCTATGATTTTGTGTGCTTCCTTCCTTACTGGGAAAGAAGGGTATATTTCTAATCTCGTGTCTTTATTGTCTTGCACTCAAAATTTCATATACATATTTCTGATCTCTTATCTCATTAGTATACTTACTTTCTTAGCTATCAAACTGACTCCGGAAAAAAATTTACTATTTTAAAATCTATAAAGAATCTTTGTGAACTGCTGCCCAAATGATCTAACCACTGGATTTCTTGTTTTGATGGGATTGACTTTTGAGAACTCTGGTAGCAGAGAACCTAATGTTTATCATGTATAGATTAGTTTTTATTGAAGAAAGCTATTTTGCAAAGATCTAGATTTTTCTTGTTATGCATTAGAAACGGAATCATTTTGTTTGTTTTGGTATATATTTGTTAAGCATCTAAGTCTCTTTTATCCTTATCATTGAGTTTATTTCAGTAAGCATAATGTAGTTAATGCGTGACATGTAATTTGATGTTTGGTTTGTTGACAACAGTCAAACTGTACGCTAACCTAATAACCAAACTACAATCTCACATGGGAAGTTTGTTGCTTTTTATGCTTAAGCTGATTTCTTCAGCATACGTTTCATTTTGATCTATAAATCTTGTTTGTGCTTTTGTTTCAGGGAGAAACGTGTCGTCAGGAGTGTGAAGCTGCCTTGGCTAATAAATGAAAATTGTCCTAAGGTGCTGCCTAAGGCTAATTTCTTGGACTGTGTATTTCTTAATTAACGAGAGGTGATAACATCAAACAATGTGAGGTACAATGAGAGGTGAGAAGTGCTTGCCTTTTATTTGGCTGAAAAGATCTTGCTTCTTTTTTGGATCTAGGTTTTAACTACCCTCAATATAAATTGAAGGTATGTGAGACATTTGAAACGCTATGTTACAATTTATCTGTTTCAATAAAACAATCTAAACTTTATTGCTCTCTAATTTCATCTTTTGGCTGGGATTGGGTGGTGGGGAATTAGGCATTGCATATGAAAGATTAATATTGTTCTTAGAAGTCAGTAGTGTCTTTTGTGGATAAGATAATCTCGAGTGCTCCCCATCCTGTTTTTAGCTATTGCAAGACTGTTATAGAAAATGGATGACATTTGAATGTGCAAACTTTAGAACTATGTTTTGTGAGTACTGTTATCCTTTGTTCATTTTTTAGCAGAGAAGTGGTAACTGGTAACCTTGATTGATGGTTACTGACATTTCCTTTTTCTCCTGCCATCCACCAACAAAGGAAGGGCTGCACGGGGAAATGGGGAAACCATGCCAGTGAATAATTCTGATACATGCTTCATGCTAATCTGGTCTTTTGAATAAAGGTAAGCCCATGCAAGTAAGCACCGGATTAATCTTGCCAGCTCTTGATTTTTTTTTTTTTTTTTCATTTTTGTATAAGTTGAAGTTGGGTCAAACCCATTTTTTTGAAGTGTTTTATTTTATTTATTATTATTTATAGTAATGCTATAGTTACAATACTATGTAAGATTGCAAACTTATAATTCTATTGGCATTCAATGGAATATGACGTGGCATTAAACAAGTGGATGTATATAATATCATAGGTAGATCTTTGAATAAAAAGAGATAATTGTATAATAACGTATCATGTTGTAAGCTTATAATGTTATTTGAGATTGTAATTATAGCATTTTTGCATTTATTATTATTATTATTATTTTAAGTTGAAAAAGAGTTAAAAGTTGAAACATGTTTTTAACTTCTGGAGAAGAGCTTATACTGTAAGCTTCTAAATTGATTATTTTTATCAATTTCTGAAACTTTTTATGATTTAGCACTATGGCGAAAACTACTCAAAACAACAATTTCGCGAAAGCTTCATTTAAGTCCCAGTCATATGGTCAGTTAGCCACTAATTTTAAGGCACATGGGTTGACAATCTCTTTATTGTTTGCTTAAGCAACTCTGTATTGTTAATTGAAGCATTCATGTTTGCCCAACACATTTCATTTGGCCCAGCCACCTAGACTGCTCCACCTACTATTCTTAGTTGCCATGATAGGTTGATTTCAATGGTGTTCTGCGCCACCTAGCATTCTGTTATATGTTTTATATATATAAAAAAAAAAATTAAATAGAAGAAGAGTTTGGTGATTTCTAGTTTAAACTGTAAAATACTCACCATTGGATAGAAGAACTAACATATATTATCAAGAAGTTCTTCATCATTTCGTGGTTAATATTTTGTAATTTAATGTAGTTTAAACTACAAAACTCATTTTTTAATACTAGAAATATTGAAAACATTCCAGTAATCTAAAAAGGGGATGAGAATAAATAGAAACAGAAGTGAAATCATAGTTTTGGATTATTTGAGGTGGCGCAGGACCACTGGAACTTCCACTTTTGTGTGCTATAATTGAAGGATAACAGTTTATCGTTGATCATGCGCTTTATAATTGTGGGTCAGATCTCATCCACTTCTCCAGATTTTATTTTATTTTATTTTTGCCAGCACCAAGGAATAATAAGAATACATCAAAAGCCATTGCCTGGTTGGTCCCTAATTACCCATAATAATTCAACACGTGCAAGTTCACACACACGTGATATACAACTCAATGACTTGATATACTCGGTAGAAAGAACGACAAAGGTGATGTTTTTGTTGTAGGTTTTGAACTTGGATGTTACAATGAATTGAATTCTAAGGTTAAGATGAGTGAGAAGCGATTTGAGAAATAGAGGAATGCATAAGTTTTGACTAGTAGGTTATGATCTAGTCCGACTTGTTTGTCACGCAATATATTTACAATGAAGATATAAATCAATATTTTTAAAAAGTAATATTTAGTTAGTAATTTAAGTTGTTTAATGGTAATTTTTTTAGTAAAAATAAGAGATTATAAATTTGAATTGTATAACATATGAGTAAAGTATAGTCTAAGATAAGAAAAGATTGTTTTTTATTATATAATTTAAAATTAAAAAAAATAACTTTTAGAAGTAATATTTAATTGAGAACAATGAAGTAAAAAATACGAATGACTTGTTAGTTTAGGTGGAAAGACCTCAGTTCTCTTTAAATAAAATTTTGAATTCGAATATCATGAATAGAAAAATAAATGTTGAAATGCTTCTCCCTAATGGAGTTTGACGCGATTCGATTTTAAATTAGTTAAAACTCAATGTGATTATCAAATATCAGAAGGTTAATACTAAAAAAAATGAAATAAAAAATATTATTTAATTTAAATCATTAAATAGAATGAATTTTTGATATTAAAAATTATTTTTTATTTAAAAATTTAATACCGTCAAAATTACAAAAGAGCTAACAATGAAATATTGAAAAATGAAAATAGAGATACCCAGCACCGGCTAGATTCATGCTTCGTCATTGCGAGGAAGGCCATGTGGCCTCTATGCTTCCCGGTGGCGTGTGCTTGTCTCTTGCTTTCTGTGTTCGTTTTCCTATGTTCTCCTCCTTGCCACCCTACCCTCGTTATCCTGTTCTGGCACTTACTGTTCTCAATAGGATCGAAACCAAATAAATGTCAACCGTTTGATGTCAAATGATTTCGAAAGCCTGTGAGATGGGGCCCTTTATAGGTAGTCTAAACCTAATCATGGGTCCCTCCCAACTGGAACTTAAAAGTGTGTCAACTCCACACGGTAATGTAATTAAAATCAATAAATAAAGAAAATAACATAAGGTCTATCTTCTTGATTTAGAGCCTAATGCCTTACCTAACTCAATGCCCAATGTATATTTTCAACCTTAAATTCCGGTGGCAGAAACTTGAAAAAATAGGAGAGCCTTTTTTTTTTTTTACTCATAATTAAATGTTAAAAAAAATAGTCTTCAAGTTTTTAATTTTATGGTGTGCATGTTTGATTTAATTTTATAATTTTAATTTAGTTTAGTTATTTATTAATTTTTGCTATAAGTTTAGGATAAGTAATCCCTCAATAATTTTAAAGACATACTTTTATATTGACATGTTACATTTAAAAAATTAATTTTTTTAAATACTGGTCTAACACTTCGATTTTAAATCTCACGTACAAGGCAAAATTTACTAGCAAATTCAACATTTGCAATTATTACTCGAATATAGTGAATTAGAACTCACCTTTATATGCGTACTCTAACATAAATTATAAGTAAACTAATTTTTAAATTCAACTGTTGAAATAATAGGATCATACTAATAATAAATAAAGAAAAAGTGCATATCAGTTTTGATTTTCAAAATAAATTAAAATTTGATGTTGTTTTATATAATTAAAATTTAATTTAAAATTTAAGAATCTATTATATTAAATGTTGAGATTTTAGTTTTTAAATATAAATTAGGACTCTAATTTTTTTTAGAGTTGGGATGGATACATACTAATCTCAATAAATAATATATGTTAAATAGTTATATTTAGGAATTAAGGGCTAAGAAAATTTAAAGACTTTTGCTAATTTTTTTTTTAGCCATTATTAAATCCAGTTGGATGTTTGTTAACCCTCTATAAATTAGGTATGACTTAAAAATTTAGCTTGTAGGTGAGATTTGAGTTAGATATAACATTAATTATGCATTAATTCTATAAAAATTTACCCTATATTTTCATTTTCCGAGATTGTCTTTTTGCTTCACACCAAAGAGATTGTAATATTTGGATAGTGTTATTGTCATATCATAATGTTATATATTTTTATTTTAATTAGTCATTATATTCTTTAATTTGTTAAGAAATACAAAAATGCAAAATTTTAAGAAGAGTGTAACAGCAACTATAAAGGGTGTGGCAAACATGATGTACAGTGTTTTTATGGAGTGGGAAATAATGGTCTTATGCCCACTAATGGTCCTTTGTTAGTGTAGAATATTGGACTTGGACCTCTCCTATAATCTAATAATAGCTTCAATTAATTTTAATTTTTCTAAATTAAATTTTTTGACTTTTTGATTGTATATAACGATAATTAAATTTGTTTTTATCAGATATTCAACCAGAATTATATAAAAAATAAAATTTAAT